TGAGTGTAATATTTGTCGGTTTACACGGAGTGGAAAAAAACGAAACTAAATGTAACAGCTAATTTTCTGATATCCCGAGACAGCTGATTTATTATACAAATTTATAAATTTCAGATTTTCTGTGAACGCTGTGTCGTCGGGACCTCTCGGGCTCTGCTGCTTTAATTCTGATCTTTCTAATTCTAACCTGTCACAGCTCATTTTAACCCAAATCATAAACATGCAGACTGAAAAATCCTTCATAATGATTACTTGATGATGCTCATTTTGGGACTTTTGAGGCTTTGCAGATGTCAAATTATGCAAAATTGCAGAGATGAACAGAGCAGAGCTCACTGAGTCATGCTGAGTCCATATATGATGTGCATCTGTGTGTACAATAGGATACTATATAATATGTTTCTGATTATTTGATGAAAAAAATTAAATGGAAGAAAAATATATTTAGTCATCGAATGGCCAATATATCTATATATATCTATCAGCTAAACGATCTGTACTTGTATAAGGTCACCGTGTTGAATTCTGATGATGTTAAATTCAATCATAAACCACTCCAAAGGTGCTCCATTCTATCTGTGTCGCCTATATCTGACCTGTAAAGACTACAAAGTCATTTTCTGTGCCTAAAGAGGACGAAGTGTCTGAACCAGAGCTCACATCCTGATAAACACAGCAGATTTTTGGCTGTTAAGCTTTAATTTTCACTCCTTTCACACTCTAGTCCAGTGATAAGAAACAGATCATTGAAATTTAAATGATGCTAACCAAGGCATTTAACTACTGCTCCTGTGAAAACTTAAGGAGACACAAGACACCTCTCAAGTGTGTCCTGGCTCTGCAGCTTCCTCCAAGTTGGACACGCCCAAAATGCCTCATCTAGGAGGCGTCCACGTCAGCTGACTCCTGCAGTAGGTACATCTCTTTTGAGCTCACAAAGGTATTCTTTGGGTTGCTACCTGCAGATCGTGGCCATGGAGGGCAAGAATGTAGACTGACAACAGACCAGTAAAACATCTGCAACGCTGCAGATGCAGGACCAATCCTACTGTCAATTTCTTCAACAAGCCCCTGATATACTTAAACTCTGGCACTTGAGGACGAAATTCATCCCCTACACTGATTTTGCACTCCACTCTTTTCCATCTGAGAACCATGGCCTCAGACCTGGAAGTGCTAATTCCCAACCCAAACACTTCAAATTCAGCTGCAAACCCCTCAAGTGTCAGCTGGACGTCGCCATTTGATGAAGCCAAGAGGGCCACATTATCCACAAAAAGCCCTGACGAGCTCTCGAGACCACTGGCTGTGATACTCTCTGCTCCTCAGCTGCACTTAGAAATTCTGTTCATAAGTTGCCACTGATTCTGTTCATCAGTGGCAACTCTGGTGGAGTCAGTCCCACTGGGAATGACTGAGACTTAATGCTGGCTGTTCCTCATCCTAGAGGTCCAGCTTGAGTAGAAGTTTAACAGAAACCTTTCTTTAGCTGGAGGATGAGGGGAGGCCTGTACTCACTGAGGCTGTGTGCAGTCCTGAAGGTTACACATTCTTCGGATGGGTTTGGGCCTCTTGCCGGCGTCGCAGTAGCCTCGATGAACCATCTTGGTGTCTCCCTTTTTCCGACATCCATACTTGGTGTACTGAAACCCTGTCCAGAAAACCCCCACCCCCAAAAACCCAATGGTTTAATTAGAAAGACAGTTTACATCCTTTTCCTGGGGTTTGACTTTTCAAACTTCAAAGTTCCTTTGCAATTACTCAAGTCACATTTTTATATCTAATTTCCTTTAAGTTTAAAATATGTCTTAAAGCTTTTGTCTACTTTTAAATTAAATACCAGCGAGCTTGTGGACAATTATTGAGCTTAAGCCTGCTGCATAAAATCTTAGAGGTGTATTCAGGCTAATATAAATATATATATATATATATATAAAACACACAAGCACATGCAACGCTTTTGAGAAGTTTCTGGGTCGACATCAAAAAGGGAAAGAACTGCAGGTAACAGTTCATGTGCAAAGTGCTTTAAGTACTCAAGTATAAAAGTGTTGCATAAGAACCATTCCATTCCAAATGTGTAATTTTCTTTTGCAGGATTACAAATTTCATGCTGTTCCCACATTAAAGGTCAGAGGTCACATATCAAGTAGATATAATAAGATGCAAAATTTGACAAATATTAATGTTTCTTTGTTTGAAATATTTCCAGCTATGAAGTCGTGAACTTTATGCTCACAATGATCTTTGTTGGCCAATTCTGCAGATTTGAAATGCTAATGTTCTGTGCACAGGGATGAATAATACCAAAAACACAGTAGAGAAATGATAAAT